CACGAATATGATGCTTATTTTGGCGCCAGCGCTATTTGGTGGAGTTACGGTAGACTTTTGGGCAAATCCTGGTTTAGCTTCCCCTACCGTATCTCCACCGGATGGCGTTGCCGCACAAAATAAACATCGAATTCGTGTGCATCGTACCAAATAACCCCTCCCCCTAGACGAAGTTTTAGTGAAATGCAGGCTTTTCAATTTGTGTGTCAACTAATGTGTAATAGTATCCGTAAATTTTCGAGTGAAACGACATGGCTTACGTTCATAGAGGGATCCTCGGGCTCATCAACCTCATCTGCTCCGTGACTTCTACCATCGCTAGGACCCTTCCCGCTAGTGAGCTGCTCGAGCTTCCTGAAATCATTGTTTTTCGCTAGCCCCCTTTATCCTTCTCACTGCCATCCATTCACGATGAAAATACCTCGTAAGAGTATCGATTTCGTTGGCTAGTTGCTTTTTCTCCGTCTCCACTTTCTCGACCATATGCAGGAGCCGTTCCTCCAATTCTTCATTTCTATTCTTTTGTAGCTGGAACTGCTCCTCTAACAAGGAATACTTCTTCCGCCAGTATTCAAGTTCAGCATCACTCATGTATATAGATACAGAGCGTTCGGTACACACACACTTTTGATTGTGGTAGTATGGTAGAACGCAAAGAACCTGCAATTGTGGATGCAAAAGTGTTGTGGATAGTAGCGCAATAGTAGGAAGAGATTCCACAGGAATCATCTTAGCAAGACTTGTCCCCATCTTGACCATAAGGACATGTGCATAGCTAAGTTTCTAACATCGGTTATTGGTAAAGTTCTTCGAGTCGCAGAAAAAATTTGTCATGAAGAGTATCAAGTCTCTAGACAGCACATAGAAGTTCTATTACCAAAGCGAGTTAGGTGTGTTTGTTAGGCACGCGCCATACTTAATCCGCTTGATACACTTCGCTAATGGTCAAATCCACAAACCGACCAACGGCGAAGTGGTCTAAGCGGATCAAACGGATCAAGTGAAACATCCGCTTTGCTATTGGTCAGTTCA